CTACAACACTGTCTGATAAAGGAAATAACAATAATGAGATGATAACGGAAGATGACTTCGATGCCTGCGGACGTCGAGCAGGTATACCTTGAAGTTTCCGGAAAGTAGCCAATGCAATCAATCACTAGTGTCCAGCACGGGCAGACGTACATGGATCTACACAAAAGATGTGTAGAAGCATAGTATGAGTACACTATAACGGTACCCAATACGTATCAATCCTAGCCTCGGTAGAGTAGTGACGAGGCCAGGTCAAGACGCTTACAAGGGGATAAGAACTAAACAGAGTATAGCATGGTCTAAATATAGCAAACACAGAAATAAATGACAACTAACAGTTCAATAATGTAAGCTAACAACGGAGATTTAAGCAGTAAAGTCAGCAAGGAGTGAACAGATGATGAAACAACGAGAAGGCAAATACAAATAATTACAAGTAAAGCAATGAAGAAACAATAGGAACTATTCAACTAACAAACCTTTTCAACATGGAATGTACAATAAGAATCACAACCGAGGTATCCCTTGTATTCACATTTCACTTTTCACAATTTCAATCACACTCTTTCCTTATATCACTGCGTGAGCCTTGCATTTAGTTTTAAAAATTATTTTTTCGAAATAGCTACACACGTTTTAGTCCACCTTATCTCACCGTGTGGCTTCAAGTAATTTTCCTACTAGCAACACGAGTATCAAAGCCCACTTTATCTCACTGCATGCGTATCAACCCCACTTTATCTCACTGCATGCGTATCAACCCCTAGACTTATACCACCGCATGTGTATCAATATCACAACACAATCACAACTCGCACCATAAGTGCATATGACATAACTTTCCAAAAAGTCAACAATACAAATATTTCCATAACAAATAGCCCATGGCTCAAGCACAATGTTTTCAATCATCTCAATAACAACAAGATCAATGAGGAATACTCAACAAGGAAAGATACCTCAACAATTAACAACTTCACCTCAAAGTGATAACGGCTTTTACAACTTCAACACCAATAACTCAACAAGAGGATATTCCACGAAATAACAACTTCAAGTAAGAGTAATTCAACAATAAAGAGGTAACACGACAATAAGGAAAATAACAACTTCACCTAAGACATATGAGATCAATATAACAAGTAAGAGGTAGAACAAGAGCTACAACGTCAAATAAAGCATGTAAGAGTAGATTAACAAATGTAAGAGTAGATTAACAATGAAAGATGTGACATATTATTACAATTCAATTAAAGGCATGGAAAGAGTCTAAATAGCCTAAACCAGTCAAATATCACATATAGCCCGTATACCCACTCGTCACCTTGCGTACACGGCTTTTACCTAACACAAATAGCACAATCAACCCAAATCCTAAGGGATAGTTCCCCGATACCAAGTTTGGAAAGATACTTAACTCAAACAAGCTAAATCAACCCACTAGTAAACCTTTCCACGAAAATCCAACTCCGGACGGCTCGAATCTAGCTAAAATAACTTAATACCATAAATACAAACCATAGAAAACTATTCCGGATAATAAAGTTTCAATTTTTAAAGCAACTCAAAACGTCAACACCGGGCTCGCACCTCGGTACTCGACCAAACTTACAAAATCCTAACACCCATTCAATAACGAGTTTAACCATATAAAAATTATCCAATTCCGACCTCAAATCGACCTTCAAATCCCCAATTTATAGTTTAGGAAAGTTTTCATCCAATTCCCGATTTTCTCCAACTCAAAACACTAATTAAATATTAAAAACAATGACGGATTTATGAATAATAAGCAAATACGAGTCAAAAACACTTACCCCGATCCAAATCTTGAAAATCCCTTCCAAAATAGCCCAAAACTGAGTTCTACAACTCAAAATATGAAAAATAACTCCAACCCTCGATCTTCCCTATTTATGCCCAGCGATATCCGCTTCTGCGACCTCTCTGTTGCATCTACGGCTCCACACCTACAGAAAAATCCATTGCAGGTGCGGCCTCAACTAAGCTCAGGGAATTCCGCTTCTGCGGCACAAACAATGCACCTGCGCTTCCGCTTCTGCGCCAATGACTCCGCACCTGCTGTCTCCCACCCAAAGTCCAAATTCCGCATCTTGGGAAAAATTCTCGCTCCCACAGCTGCACATTTGCGCACTCCTGTCCGGACCTGCGGACATAGTCAACCAATGCACAAACCGCTTCTGCGACTCCATGGCCGCTTCTACAGTATCGCACCTGCGGCCAAAACTACAGAGGTGCGATCACACCAGAAGCTTTAAGCTTCAGCAACTTCCTTAAGTCCAATCTCAATCCGTTAACGATCTGAATCATACCCGAGGGCCCCGGGACCCCATCCAAACAAATTAACACATCCTAAAATATGATACGAACTTAGTCGAAGCCTTAAATCACATCAAACAACATCAAAATCACCAATTGGACCCCAATTCAAGCTTAATGAAACTAATGAACTTCTCACTTCTAAAGTCAATGCCGAATCATATCAAACCAACTCCGATTGACCTCAAATTTTGAACACGAGCATAAATGATACGATGGACATATTCCAACTTTCGAGACTGAAATTTGACCCCGATATCGACAATAACAACTCTCGGTCAAACCTCTCAACCTTCCAAACCTTCAACTTTCCAACTTTCGCCAATTCAAGCCAAAACGACCTACGTACCTACAAATCAATATTTGGGCATATGCCTAAGTTCAAAATCACCATATGAAGCTATCAGAATCATAAAAACTCTATTCCGGAGTCGTCTACACAAAAGTCAAGCTCTAGTCAACTCTTCCAACTTAAGCTTCCAACTTCGGGACTAAGTGTCCCAATTCACTCCGAAACTCACTCGAAACCAAACCAACTACCCCGGCAAGTCACATAATCACAATTGAACATAGAAGAGGCAACAAATAGTGGGACGGGGCTAAAATACTCAAAATAACTGGCCGGATCGTTACACCTACCTTGCTTGTTGGTGATGTGTATATGCTTGGTGAGGAAGAGTGCATTGTACGAATGGTGTTTCTGTGTTTGTGAGGAAGAGTGATTTATGCACAAAGGGTGTTCCGTGCTTCTTGATATTATCATTATTATTGCACGAAGGGTATTTCCGTGCTTGTTTTTATATTATTATGTGAGGATGAGAGTAAAAGCACGAAGGGACATGTCGTGCAATTGTTTTTACATTATAATGTGAGGATGAGAGTTCATGGCACGAAGGGTGATGCGGTACAATTATTTTTATATTATAATATGAGGACAAGAGTTCATGGAACGAAGGGTATTTTCGTGCAGGGGAGGATGAGAGATATGCATTATATTGTGTTATCTTACATATACATTTATACCTTTATCCCGAGTAGTTATTGTTATACCTATGCTTTCTATGCTGCTTGTTGTTGTTACGTCTTTGCCTTCTACCTTGTGTGAACATAATAATTATAATAACCTTTTAGCATATATTTCTAATTATTTGACCTTCTAGGTTCCAAGTAAAGAAAAAAAGTATGACGAGTGAAAGCCACTCTCATCTTAAAGTTTTTTTTAGCACTTCAACTGTTAAGTTGGTTCTTTGACGGACATACCTCTTTTTCATCTGTCACTGTTCATTTTACACTACAACTAGTTTTGTCAACCACTGAACCAACATTGTGTTCACTCTCCCATAAAAAAATATGCTGAGTTTATAGGCGGCTCAACCCCAAGGCTTTAGGCCCCCAAAAATTATAGGGCCCCAAATTTTACTCATATTATATATATAATAAGTATATTTTAAATAATTACTTCTATAATTCTTTATAATGATAAAAAAATCTTGTGATCAACCATTTGCTTTGTCAATAATCATTTTAGCATAGTTCCAAACATTATGCTATTTTTCATGGAGAAATAGCATTAACAATATTTGCCTCCAAAGTCCTCTAATAATGGTTTAGCTTTAGGCCTCGTACTCCATCGAGCCGCCACTGGCTGAGTTTTATCAAGCTTGTTCTCTTTTGTTTTATATTTATCATATTTCAAATAATACTGAGTTGAAAAAGTGGAAAAATGTTTGAAATTGAAGCTAAAAATAATAATAAGTATTTGAAAGCTGATTAAGCAAAAAAAAAAGGCTAATAAATAATCATAGATTCCTCCCTTAAATTCTCAATATTTGATTTATTCCTCAGTTGGTATATCACCTATAATTAGATTATCTCATCAAAAAGAAAAAGAAAATACTCCACTACTTAAAATGATTAGCAGAATATGTATCTATTTTTAGAAAAAAATATTTTCTCAAAGTTAGGAGTAAATCTTAAAAAACTGTCAAATGTCACCAAAGGTCACAACTTACTACAAGAAAAGAGCTTCGTAAAGACTGAAATTCAGAAAAATTACTACGTACGTAACTGATATTCAAAACAACGGTCTGCTCAACTGATAACCAGCCCCACATATCGAATTCCCCTACTTACAACTCAATATCAAATCCATTCTTGGATTCTACTTCTCCTGTTTTTACCATTTTTCTTTTCTTTCACTACTCCTATTTTTACCCCCACCCGGGGAACAATTACTGTCTCAGTGTTCCAGCTAACAAACATTTACTTCTCTTTTCTGATAAATTAAATTAAAAATAGCAATATTCAGTTGAAGACATTTATTTGTGAATTAAAAGCAACATGAATTCTTAATGGTAAAGTTACTGACTTAGAGATGTCTAAGCAAAGATCATACACCCTAATTCATTACAGTTTGAATAAACTATGACTCTCTTTTGTAAAATTACTTCTTATATATATTCTGAAAAAATAACAACTACGAAATTAATTAGTCCATCGCTATAGTCTAAAAAAAAATAATAACAAAGGATATTGTACAGTAGCAACACCAAAATTCTGTTCATTTTTTGGGGTTTTTGGTTTAATATTGGGTTCTAAAATATTGTAAAAACTAAAAAGAAAAAAAGAAGAAGCTGGCGTCTGTTCATATTGTATATTTATACGACAAGTATGCCCAGAACCAATACAATTCCCTCTTTGCTTCTGTCTCTATCTTTCTCGGGCGATTCGCTTACTTCGCCGGAGAATTACGTCACTGATCGGATCAACACTGTTTCTTCGACGCCGATTCAGTTCCCTAAACTTCCGGCAAGGTAAAATTCGCCGCCGATTCTTCTCATGCAAATCAATTCACTAACTGAACATAAAAAAGTTTCCCTCAAATATTGTTTCTAATCGTAAAAAAATATGCTTTTTTCTGTTTCAGATCTGGTAATGTTGGATAACTGTACGAAGATTTGGATTAAAGAAAGCTTTTCTCAAGAACTTTTGGGGTCAATTTTGCAATTTTTCTCCTTTATGAATTAAGGATTGGGTGAGTATGGAGGGGGGTAGTGCGAGATCAGGGGGTATAGTGAAGAAGAAAAGCTCATCCGGGTGTTTGATAATTAAGAAGAAAGATGAGAGAATGGGTATAGGGGGTGGAGGAGGGGGTGTGGGTGTGGGTTCTTCAAGGGCTTCACAGAAGGTGAAGAAGAGGCCAAGGTTGGTTCAGAGTGATTCCGAGTCGAGTGATGAAGAGTTATTGGAGCCAATTGGGAGAAGGGGTGGAGAGAAATTTCATAATGGTAGTGTAAAAAGTGGTGGGGAAAGTAGAGAGCTCGGTAGGAATGGGAAGATTGAGAGTGAGAGGAAGAGAAGTAGGTTAGATTTGTTTGATTTCGACGAGTACGATGAATTCGATGAGGAAATGAAATGGAATGTTGCAAGAACTGGTGGGAGTTCTAGGGAGTTTGTAAGCGGTTCTAGTAGTAGGAGTATGATGGTTGAGAAGAGGAAGCATTTGAATATTGAGAGTTCGAGTAACTTGTCGGGTAGCAGAGCTAAGGGCGATGAGTGTGGTGTTAAGAAAAGGTACGATTTAGATGAGGATGAAGCACATATGCCCATTTCATTGCTTAGGTTGAAGTATCAGCAATCGTCTCAAGAACCAATCAGATTGCAGGGGAAAAATGGAGTGTTGAAGGTAATGGTGAATAAGAAGAAGAAGGTAGACCTATCACACAAGGATTCTGATCTTGAAAGTAGGAAAGGTTCCAGGTCCGAAGATGTTGTCAAGAAAGATTTGCTAGGCCGAGCTTCTTTGCACTCGGATTCTAAACGCCCTGAAAAACGACCATTGTCTGTTAAAACAGAGCAGACTGAGCTGAAATCACAAAAACCTTTCTTGGCAAAATGCATTAAGTCTGTAGACCGTGAAACAGATGAGACTGATACATCACTTAAGTTGGCACCACCTAGTTCGCAGCCTGCTAGCTCAAAGATGAGGGCGGTTAAGGAAGAAAGCAGGTCAGCAGCAGCTGAAGATGTTACCCCTGCTAAAAGCAAAGAAGGAAAATTGAAACAACGTGGGAGCATGGAGAAGCAGCAGCTTCAGCCTGCTAGCTCAAAGGCCAGGGTCATTAAGGAAGAAAGCAGGTCCGTAGCAGCTGAAGATGTTACCCCTGCCAAAAGTAAAGGAGGAAACTTGAAACGAGGTGGGAGTACAGAGAAGCAGCAGCTGCGAGAGAAAATAAGAGGAATGCTTATTGAAGCTGGATGGACCATTGATTACAGACCGAGAAGGAACAGAGATTACTTAGATGCAGTGTACATTAATCCTAGTGGAACAGCATACTGGTCAATAATTAAGGCTTATGATGCACTGCAAAAACAGTCAGGGGAAGATTCATGCAAAAGTAAAATTGATGGTGGCTCTAGTTCATTTGCTCCATTGTCTGATGAGTTAATCAATAAGCTAACCAGGCAAACACGGAAGAAGATTGAGAAAGAACTGAAGAAGAAAAGGAAAGATGATGCCAAGAACCGAGTTTACAAAAAGTCTGCTATGCAAGAGTCTGCAGAGGACACAGATGGTGATCAGCATGAGGAGAGGCTAAGTAGTTATGTAAAGAAGAAAGGTAAGTTGCTGAAATGCAAGTCTCATGCAACAGATCAGGAGAGTGATGGTGATACAAGTGGAAATTCATCAAAGGGAGGAAGATCTAAGCAGGATATGTCTGGAAAATCATTTACTGGAGCTGCTTCCAGTGCAGTACAGGGAAGAAAAAGTAGGATAATTGGACGATGTACATTGTTGGTCCGCAGGTCGGATAAGGAGCAAGATTCTGAAGATGATGGCTATGTTCCTTATACTGGAAAAAGAACCTTATTGGCCTGGATGATTGACTCTGGCACAGTGAAGTTAAGTCAGAAGGTTCAATATATGAATCGTAGGAGGACCAGAGTAAAGCTAGAAGGTTGGATCACACGAGATGGCGTCCACTGTGGTTGCTGTAGTAAAATCCTTCCAGTTTCAAAATTTGAGCTCCATGCAGGAAGTACATTGCGTCAACCATTTCAAAACATAATATTGGAGTCTGGCGTTTCCTTGCTGGAGTGCTTGGTTGATGCATGGAATCGGCAAGAAGAATCTGAACGCCAAGATTTCCATACTGTAAATGTTGATGGTGATGATCCTGATGATGACACTTGTGGTATATGTGGTGATGGTGGGGACCTTATCTGTTGTGACGGTTGCCCTTCCACTTTTCATCAGAGCTGTCTGGGTATACAAGTATGTAAAATATTCTCTTTTTTCTTAGTGTTCTCATGTTTTTCCCTCTTAATCAGTACTGTGCATTCCTGCACTGTTATTCTTTTTTGTGTTGTGGTAGCAAATGTGAAATTTATCCCAGTCTTTTGTTTTCCTTTGATACTACTTGGTTTTTGGACGTTTTCCTGACATTTAAATGTATGAATTTAGTGTTTTACATGCGTGAGAATGTTATCAGTGCCCTTTATCATCAGGAAATTTTTTAGATTCTTATAACCACTAAGGAGATGAAGGAGGAACAGAAAATAACGGTGGTTGGGTGTGGGGCAGGTCAAAATCATAGTCTGCTACTAACCTTTTCATTGGACATACCACCATAGTCCTAAGATAATTAGAACTGTATGAAGAACCGGGTTACAGAAGTGGAGGAAACAGTGTACTCTGCGACCATCTTGCAACTCTTTACAACTGACATAAAAGATATCTGTTGTTATCTTACCTGATAAGAAAACTGACATAAAAGATATGTGTAGTTTCCATTTCTACTGAATCTTTAATGAATGGTTTCCCCTATCATTAACATGTCCATGCTGTATTCACAATAGCTGAACAGAAAGAACTGGTTAAAAAGGGAAAGAAAAAAGTTCCATCCAGTTGAGCTGAAAAAAAAAAAGAAGAAGAAAAGAAATGGCTGTGGCTCCTAATTCAAAAAGAAAAAGAAACCTGTAAGAATTTTTAATAATGATGAAAGTCTTCTACTTATTAGCAGCAATGGTTTTGGCTGTCTTCTAGCTCTTTGTGAGCAGGTCTATGTACTTTAGTATTTTCTATGAATCTGCTCCCTTTCTTCTTCTTGTTTCTTAGGAGCAGTCATGCCCTTCTACGTTTACATTATCACCATCTTGGTCAACAGACTCTCTTTGAGCTCCATGTGCTAGTTCATTATTTGAAATAATCGAATACACTTGCTACTAAATCTCATGCATGAATGCAACCATAAGGGAGAAAAATGAATGGAGCCATGTGACAGAGGTCAATCAACTGCAGTTATGTAATCAAGTCCATTTTTTGTGACTGTGATCTTGTTATCCTTATAGTGAAACAATCAGTAAACCATTCCGAAAATTAACTATGTCCTCTTCCGTTCCATCTTCAAGACTGTTTTGGTTTGTTGTTTGTATCATTAAATGGTTGGAAAGAAAGATAAGTGCATAACTATCACTAGAATTGATTGTGTAATAGGGAAATGAACATTAATTAGGATATTTCTTTCTTAGAACGTCATACCTCTATTAGGCATCGCCAAAAGCAACATGTGTAGACTGGGATTTTGATCATTTTTTGTCACTAGAATTGATTGTGTAATATGTAAATGAACATTAATTAGGATGTTTCCTTCTTAGAGCATCGTACCTCTATCCAGGCATCTCCGAAAGATGCAACATGTGTAGACTGGGATTTTGAACATTTTCTGTTACTTTATATTATTATTTACTCTTTATAAGCATCACGTTTACATGCTTCTCTTTTCTACAGATGCTTCCTCCAGGGGATTGGCACTGTCCAAATTGCACATGCAAATTTTGTGGGACTGCCAATACTACTGCAGAGGAAGGTCAGGCAGCTGCAGATATGCTCCTCTACTGCAGCCTGTGTGAGAAAAAATGTAAAGCTGTTTGCCTTTTGGAGGTTTGGTCGTTGACGCCTTCTATGCTTGAGCTGATTTATTAAACCTTCATTTTGCAGATCACAAATCATGCAGTCTGGATATAAATGCTTTACCAGCTAGTTCTAATAATCCATCTGTATCATTTTGTGGGCAGAAATGCCAAGAGGTATTTCTGTTATTCTGTTTGTGAGTTCTCCTGTCTGATGTATAGCATATTAAGAATCACTAAAGAGTTATCAAGTTTCACTCTTCACTATTTTGAAATTGTTGTCCTGTCTCAAATCCTAATGGAGCTATATACTGTCATTTACCTTCATATCAAACAAAATGATATTTGGCATCAACTCTTATTCATGTGTTGAAAATTGCAATCATGATCTTCCAAGCTTTAGAACCTTCAGAATTGAATTGGTCATTTTAGGTACATGTCTCGCTTTCAGTCTCTTTGTCAGAGAACCTGAGTTGAAAAGCCAAAACTTTTCCTTCAGCAATTTTATACCTGCTGGATAGTGTAGAGCTAAGTTGCTCGGACTTGGGTGCGGGTGTCCGATATAGGTGTGGATCTAGAGGTCGGATCTTTCATTATCTAATTTTTAGGATTCAGGGGTACGGATCCCGGTACAGGTATTGGTGCGGAGATTCAACTAAAAATAATTCAAATATCTAAAAATAGATTTATAAGAATATTCCTAGATTATGATTCCACCATAGCTTTTGTTTTTATTTAAGAGATCATTGTATCTGTTTCGGACTCCTCTGTCGATTTTGGATACGTACTCAAAATCGATTGACCAAATCTAGTACGGATCCCACACCCACACCCACACCCACACCCACATCATGTCGACACGGGTGCGGCACCGAAAGTGAAGAGTCCGAGCAACTTAGGTGTAGACATGATTTGACCTGCTGTTGCAAGAGCAAAGAAGCTGTGAATCCACAACTCTGCAACTATATGCATGGACAACAAGCAAGAGCGAAGGAAGAACTGAAAGGACTAGAAAACTGATCTAACAGAAATGCTGTTGTCTTTAAAAGGTCTGTGAGCCAATGATGATGCAGAAACACATAGCTAAAAATTGCAAAAGCTTGAACTTCAACCCTGAAAATAGTATGAAGAATCTTAGAACCAGCTTGTTTCATCTGAATCATTTCTTTTATTTCTTCTCGACGTTGTTTTCGACCAACCACCCAGCCTGTTGTTAATTCTTGCCACTTTAAATGGAATTTATCAGATCATTCAGCTTCTTTCATGCATTAGCTTGCTGGTGGATGATACATCCATTGCAATCAGTTGGCTTCAGCACTGTAATATGCATATCTGTTTACTAAATCTGATATTCGCGGGTTGTAATCCTATTAGAGCGCTCCTAGAGGAGTCCGGATCCATGAACTTCTTTCATTTAGTGATCTAAGTCCTTTTCACTGCGGCAGCATTTAAACCTTGACTTCCTAATTTGCACAAGATAGGACACTTTGTGGTATTAATTCTACATGTGAAGAGCCTAGCTTCACTAGGCTTGTTAATTTATTACTTAGATAGGATGTAACAGTTTTATACAGTAAATCTAGAGGGGCATTCTGCTGATTACACTATACCATGAGGGGTTGGGGGGGGGGGATCCTCTAGATACTACACATGATTTGGGGTTTACGCCTCTTCTCCAGTTTAGTTAAAGAAACCAAAACTAGCTTCTACTTTTGGCCTTGTCATACCAACATGATATTGTTATCCAATTCTCTCCTTGATAAGATCCTAAAAATGATTGCAGATGACCCTTTCTGCTCTATACATCAGGAATAGAACCTAGCCCATCTACTTCAATGCCTTGTCAAACAGACAAACTGTAGCTATGCAATCATCTCCTCTATAAGGTGCACATGATTCATGATGTTCACTAGCGACTTGGTATCATAGGAGCCGTCTCAAGAAAAGACTTGATTAGAAAGTTACATCCCTTGTTTTTGTTAAAAAATGCATATTTCATTTGTAGCACCAAGAAAGTGCAGCGATGTACAAAAATCAAAGGACTGTTGCTCATTTTAGCAAAGGAAGGAGTTAATGAAAGTCCTTGAGAAGATCATCATCATATACATCCATCATTTTACACCAAGAGTTGGACATCTAATTTTTAGAACACCTATGATTGCAGTCCATCCAAATGTTCCATAGAGTGCAGGCAGGAACTGTGCTCCAAAAGCATTTCGAAGACTTCTTTAACCTTTTCCCTTGCCAGCTTTCTAATAAATACACCTTTGTATATCCTGTAGCCCACTGCACTAAAATAAGGTTCAAGAACAAGTTCCAAATCTGCTAATGGAAACTGCAGTAAAAAGCAAATGTGGTGTTGTCTTATACCATGTTTGGAGGCTAAAGGGGTGCATCTAGCCTATATTACAGTGATCAAGGACATGTATGATGGAGCTAAGACCCGGGTGAGGACAATGGGAGATCGGAAAACTTCCTGGTTGTGATGGGGTTGCACTAGGGATCCGCCTTTAGCCCGTTTTTATTTTTATATTCAAGAGGAGGTGCCTTGGTGTATGTTATTTGCAGATGACATAGTTCTGATTGACGAGATGCGAGATGGTGTTAACGAGAGGCTGGAGGTTGGAGACCGACTCTCGAGTCTAAAGGTTTCAGGTTGAGCAGGACCAAGACAGAATATTTGGAGTGTAAGTTCAATGACGTTACCCAGAAAGAAGACCTGGATGTGAGGTTTGATACACAAGTCATTCCCAAGAGAAGAAGTTTCTAGTACCTTGGGTCTATAATACAAGGAAATGGGAAATTGATGAGGATGTCACATATCGCATCGGAGCAGGATGGATGAAATGGATGCTCGCTTTTAGTGTCTTGTGTGATAAGAATGTGCCAGTAAAACTTAAAGATAAGTCCTACAAAGTGGTAGTTAGACCGACTATGTTGTATGGAGCAGAGCGTTGACCAGTCAAGAACTCCCATGTCCAGAAGTTGTAAGTTGCTGAAATAAGGATGTTGAGATGGATGTACGGGCATACCAGGTTTAGATAAAATTAAGAATGAAGTCATTCGGGATAAGGTGGGAGTTGCTTCCGTGGAGGATAAGATGCGGGAGGCGAGGTTGAGGTGGTTTGGGCATGTTAAGAGGAGAAGTATAGATGCTCCAGTTAGGAGGTGTGAGATGTTGGCCTTGGTGAGTATGAGGAGGGGTAGAGGTAGGCCAAATAAGTATTGGGGAGAGGTAATTATGCAGGACATGGTGCAACTGGAGCTTACTGAGGATATGACCCTTGATAGGAGGGTGTGAGTATCGAGGATTAGGGTAGAAGGTTAGTAGATAGTCGAGTGTGTCCTTTTTTCTTTCTTAGTCCGGTGTCATTAGTGTTTATATGGTTTCGTTTTATTCTTAGATTGATATTATTACCCATTGTTTGATTGCTATCTTTGCAGCGGCTTTCTTAATATCTTGTGTTTATTTTATTATTAGATTGCTATTACTACTTATTGTTTGATTGCTTTCTTTGCCTCGGTTTTCTTAATATCTTGTGCTGTTACTACTTGTCGCTGCTGCTCCTTCTCATCTTTTTTTCAGCCGAGGGTCTATCGGAAACAGCCTCTCTGCCCTTGTAAAGGCTGGGGTAAGGCTGCGTACATCCCACTCTTCCCCGACCCCACTCAAGGCTGCGTACATCCCACTCTTCCCCGACCCCACTCATGAGATTACACGGGGGTTTTTGTTGTTGTTGTTGTTGTTGTTGTTGTCGTCTTATACATGTATTACATGGGTTAGCATCTGTTGGACAAACTACCAAAAATATGAGGCTAAATCCTTTCTCTGTAGCTTGTAGATCTTGAACTTGAACCTTGAGGATAAATTTCTGAATGTAATGGTAGCGATCTGTACAATCAAAGCCGAACAGTAACCTGAAATTGCTATATGGAACTTAGAGACAGAGTGAGGGAGAGAGTAATGCAATTGGCTTGTTGAGGCTTGAAAAGTGAAAAGGCCAAACAGTTCAATATTGTGGAGAGGCGTGGATGAGATGAAGGAATTTAGAGCCCCTTCCCCTTAGTATCTTATCCTGGATTGCTTACTGGTTCCTCAAGAGTCTTTAACTGGAGTTTTCTTCTCTCAGATAGTTACCATTATGCAAATGCATGATCTGCAAAACTACCAGTTTGGTAGCAAATTCAGTTAGGCTTTTGCTATTTTATTGAGAAGAACATTTTGTGTCCCGAAATTTCTAATTTTCTTTGAGACTTTGAACCTTTTTCAAGCTCAAAATTAGTGAAACTATTGTTGACCTGAGATAGTCTGTGTTGCTATCTCTCACAAGATGTGTTTGAATAGTTCAACTCATTTCTCTTCTCTGTTTTTGCAGCTGTATGATCATCTGCAGAAGATTCTTGGTGTCAAACATGAGATTGAAGCTGGATTCTCATGGTCCCTAATTCAACGAACGGAGTTAGACTCTGATCGTTCTCACCATTCCTTTTCTCAACGGGTGGAGTGCAATTCTAAGCTAGCTGTTGCACTGGCTGTTATGGATGAATGTTTTTTGCCGATTGTGGATAGGAAAAGTGGCATCAATATTATTCATAATGTTCTCTACAACTGCGGGTAAGAAGCTTTTTACCTTCTATGTGTTGTCCTAAGTTTGTAAATGTTGTGCTAAATATCCAATTTAATATCTGAAGGCCCTCGTTATTTTTCTGTAACTTCATTAAGCTGGCTGAATAATTTAATATGGCCATTTGGTATTAATGACAAATGTCGTAGAAATACGAATGTGAAGATGGATGTAGAAATGATCACATCCCATAGAGGATGCTACTAATACATAGAACATAAAATGTGAGGTGGTCGCTTGAGGTACACTATTCATATCCTCTAGATGCAGAGATTCATAGGTATGAAAAATAAGGTGATGGAATGTGATAAAAGGGAACAAGGTAGATTTAAAATCTCATAGAGAGAAGATTCCTAAATGATTTAAAATCTCTCAAGATGAATATGGATTTAGCTTACAAAAAACAAACTGGAAGCATTGGATCCATATAGGCACTACAAGCTAGTTGGGAGTAAGGTTTAGTTGTTGTTACAGTTACACTTATGTTAGCTCCAATGCTTGTCAGGACTCAGGACTTTTATTCTAATTAATGACTTGTATGCCCATATAACAATAAATTTTTGATGTAAGAATGTAGTCTTAGCAAATTCCTTACTTGATTTAAAAGACCAATTTTTAGTACTGAAATGGAATAGGCTTGAATTGAGAGGATTTGAAATATTTGTTGCGAGAGAATTTAATCAAGTATTTTTAATTTCATTTAACTAAAATATAGTATTTAAAACTATATAGAGGAGGTAGAATCTTTAGGTGATTTGCTAGGCTCACTGTGAGCTTTAGCTGATACCCCTGGTTCTCTATTTTCTTTTTTTTTTTTGGGTAAATATACAACATTGACCTGCCCTAGTGTTGTTTTTGTTTTTGTTCTTGTTTATATANTATATATATATATATATATATATATATATATATATATATATATATATATAGTGTGTGTGTGTGTGAGAGAGAGAGAGAGAGAGAAAGATAATGGCTCATTGTTGAATAAAAAATGGATTTATATGACCTCATAGACTTATTTTAAAAGAATTGATAGTTTTTATTTCTGTATCAGAGTTTCAACGTTCCCAACTGTTTGCGGACCCACTTAGTAAGAATATATTTGTGCTGGAAAAATTAAAGACAACTTCTGCTTCTGCTTAGAAGCTACTTTTTTTCAACTTCTTACTCAGCAAGCAAAAACAACTTCTGCTGCTAGCCTGCTACTCAAAACAATTTTGCTCCTTTAACTTGGCCAAACACCATAACTCTCCCAGATAAAACTTAAAGAAACAACACTTCTAGTGAAGCTTGGCTAAACAGGCTATTACTCAGCTTGTCTGACTGATTGCCAAAGATGGAGCATGACATTTAGTTGTAGGGGGGAGGGAGTACAATGTTTATGATTTTACATTTTTTTTCTGGGCTGATGCTCATAGACATAGTAGAAAATTGTTGAATTTGCTTTTCCCAGCTGTCCTTGTTTATGTCCATAATTTGCCAGGACTCTTTAGCACATGCTTTCACTCTTTATCTTCCTTGTAGACTCTTCCCTGAAACACAGTGATTCTCTTCTTAGAAGCCTAGTTAGAAATAGATTATTCCCATGCCCTTTTTCTGTCACCAGAGAAACCTCAAATGGCACTATGAAGTTAAAAGCCATAATCATGGGGATGTGGCTATTCCTTCTTCATTTATTCGTGATTCCTTATGATATAGTTGCCTGTTAGAAAAAATATTACTTTTCTTTTGTGGATTGGGTTTCTGAATCAAAAAGAAGGCTATCACTGAGGGCAATAATGTATTGATTTTATTGGATCATCCCTCTTCTTTTGTCTGGAAATGGAAAACCGAATTGTCAATTAAGCCAGACGATGTTTCTTTTGTGCTGTCTGAAAACAGTTTTCCCTATTTGCTTTATTATTTTGCGGAACTATGTGCTTGCGTGTTCCTAGATTCATCTTTTACCCGGTTATCCTTTTCTATAAACTTCGTTGTATTATTCAGCAGTATCTGACACTGTTTTTCTCTCCTCTGAAGCTCAAACTTTAGCCGGCTGAATTTTCGTGGCTTCTACACTGCAATCTTGGAAAGGGGCGATGAAATAATATCTGCTGCATCCATAAGGTATACTGGATTGCTCAAGTTGTTCCGATGTTACAATGCAAGTTTATTTTTCAGATATTGATAGAGTTGTGTGCATGAATGTGGATATGTTGTTTAACAGTTGAACTCTCTCAGCTGTCTCAGAAATTGCAATTGTGTTCCTTGCATTAGGGATTTATGATCTTTAGCAAAACGTAATTGTGCGTCATCGATTAGTCTTTGAATTCATTGCAATAGTGGACTATCCTTTTTGCCAGCATTTAACTGAATGTATCTCAATGTCAGCTACTGCTCCAAATTACTTGTATTCGCAGTAGTAATTTCGTGTCATATGTTTCTCCCCTCCATCTTTTGGCAAATATTTTTTGGACTGCTAATTTTTGGAACTGACAAGTGAGGCTTGCTCAGTTGGTAAAGCACCTCCACCCACGACCGTTAGGTCCTGGGTTCGAGTCACCTGGAGGGGAAGTGTGGAAACACTATAGATCCTCCTAAATTGGGAGCAGTGTTATCAAAGGCGAAAAGCGCAAAAAAGCTCTAAGGTTTGTTGGGGCTTTAAGCGCATAGCAAAAATAAAGCATGGGCTTTAATGATAAAAGGCGCAACCGGAGAAAAAGTAAAAATATGTATTTGTAGTCCAAGACTAATAATTATAAGCATGAGTAACAAATATATGGACAAAAAAATTGAATTTTTTTTTACGATAAAGTGAAATATCAATTGTTTAATGTTGTCTTTTCAAGATTACACTCATTGGTAAGGAAAAATATGTCTTAGAGCCTTGATGCGACAGTAAAGCACACACAAAGCGACGCGAAGCGCTCAACATGTTTTAAACCTCGCTTCAGGGCTTAAGCGCGCCTTTGACAACACTGATTGGGAGGGGAAAAAAGATTGGAACTGATTCTACTTATTCCTTAAATACTATCATCCCTTGTTTTTTAAATGACACAGTTGAAAGATATTTTTTTTTGTAGCTATTAGGAGCCACTTTTGTTGTTCCGCTAAATAATTCAGCATAACTTGCATTTTGTTTGGTCGTCTTGAATAAGGAGAATTATTCTCTTCATTAGATTCAGTATAACTTATACTTAGTTTGGTTCTAATTTTGCCCCTTCTTATAAATAATAATATACACACAAGTTATGCGGGAATCTATTTATTATTTTATGCAGGGTAGAATGTGGAATAAGAATACGTGTTAACAATAGATTGATTAAAACTACTGAAATGATAAAGATACCCTCATCTCATTAGACTCAACAACAACAACATACCCAGTGTAGTCCCACAAGTGGGGTTTGAGGAGGGTAGAGTGTACGCAGACCTTGCTGTTTCTGGTAGACCATCGGCACCCTCATCTCTTCAGACTCATTTTTCTTTTAATACAACAAGCCAACATCCAACAAGAAATTACCTCTGCAGTGTAATCCCTGCATTACTAATCTCTGCGTTATTAATACCTGCAATACTAATCCTTGCATCATAGTTACATTACATTATTTTTCCGTGTTGTACCTTTTAATCATGTAACGCACAGAAACTTTCTGAAGCATTTGATCTTATTATTAAAGGAACTTCTCTACTCATCATTCTCTCGAATTAATCAGCCTGTTAGATAATTTCTTGCTTTCCTTTTTCCTTGTCAGTTGTCTTTTTCTCATGTTTGTTCCTTCTTGCCTTACCAATCAATAAAATTGTTTTGGCTGTAAACTGTTAGGATCCATGGAACTCAACTTGCAGAAATGCCATACATTGGGACCAGGAATATATATAGGCGCCAAGGGATGTGCCGCCGGCTGCTGTCTGCTATTGAGACGGTATGAGAATAATTATTACTGGTTGTCTTTGTTGGCTCCACACTTTATTTCATCTAATTGTTTTGAAGAGGGGTTTGTGTACATAAGAAATCATTGAGATATGTCACATACGTCATGTGCATATATTGCTATTGCAATTTATAATGAGTTATTGAGAGTCATCATTCTGTTAATGCAAAAGAATTCATTGGAACGGAGGGCATCCCAATGCTTTTCCATTGCTGTTCTGGTCTTCAGAAGTAGCAGATGAATAATTTAATATAGCACTTCGTTAAAGTGGCAGAAACCGCATCAAAGAGCTACAATAGCAGTCACTTAATGTATATGTAAGTAACATGACAAAGCAAATGGTTGTGGGAATATGTAGGATGCTTTAGCCTTTAGGAAATATTGTGACACCAGATGCTCTGGAAACAGTGTAATACAATTTATTTATAGAATTTTTTTTTGAAATGGTAACAGATTTCATTGATATATAATTCTCAGCGCCAAGATAGTGCTGAGAGAAAAGGTCCCTAGTTACAAGACTTCCAAAAAAGAGAAAGATGAACAAAAACAAGCAGAGAAATACAAGTCTTTTGTCATTTACAAGGATCCGATGAGATCAACTAGGGAATCTACATCTTGTACTAAAGCTTCTTTACACCAAAAGTGAAACAATGATATACAGTTCATTTTAATCTTCTGTTCAGGATTTGCCGAGTCTTCAAAAAATGTTATTTATAGAATTGACATTTGGATACATAAAAATGTCTTTTAAACTTCCATGAGTTAGTCGCACCCAAGGGTGTGGCCTAGTGGTAAATGAATTGGGTGAGAACCACAAGGTCTCAGGTTTAAATAGCAGCTGAGGCAAAAAACACTAGGTGATTTCTTCCTATCTGTTCAAGCTTTGGTGGATAGAGTTACCTGGTACCTGTTGCTGGAGGGAGGTGGCAGGTATCTTGTGGAATTAGTCGAGGTGCACGCAAGTTAGCCTGGACACACGGTTATATAAAAAATACAAAGTTAGTCTCAAAAGAGGCATCATAAGTAGTATTGCATAGTTGTATTGTTAACGAAAGAAAGCAGAGACAAGACCTGGCATCATCCAAATTGAAATTCTGTTCATTCCTGTTGCTGCTCTCATTACTTAGTAATGGGCATATTTCTACCTAGTATGTGGACATCTTATGACTTGAAATTTTTTATGCTTGCTACCAGTATAAGTGATTTTTCCAGATGGTAATATGCATGTCATACCTTTTCCAGCTATCTCATGCATCTGCGTCCAGTTAGTCAGGGATTATGTCATTGCATGTCCATTATGTTCTTTGTATTTTATTCTTCAATATTGGAGTGCTGACCAACGATTTAATTGTCTTCTCTTTCCAGGTCCTCTCCACTCTAAAAGTCGAGAAGTTGATTATTCCTGCTATATCTGAGCATATGCATACTTGGACGGTAGTTTTTGGATTTAATCCACTTGAGGAATCAGAGAAGCTAGAAATGAAGTCCATTAATATGTTGGTGTTCCCTGGGACAGATATGCTTCAAAAGAGGCTACTAAACAGAGAGACCCTAGAGGGTACTATAATAATTAAATTCCTGCTTTTTTGGTTGCCTTAATAGGAAAATAAGCTGATATCTTAATCTTGACTGTCCGTTCTTGTGATTTGGATGTCTGGATTTTTCTGTAGGTGGTAAAAATGCTGGTGACTCGAAACATAATGTTCCTCAGTTGCCTGCTTTGGTTGAAAAGGCTGATCAGGAATCCCTTACTAAGTGCGATGGAAACTTGCGCGATGAAGCCTGTATAGAAAAAGTTGATGACGTTGATGCAATAGATTCTGATTCTCCAGCTACTGCTGTCGATTTAAGTGATAGTGCCATGGTTAGAGAAGAAAGTAATGCAATAGATTCTGATTCTCCAGCTACTGCTGTCGATTTAAGTGGTAGTGCCATGGTTAGAGAAGAAAGTACTCATTGTGGATCTCATATTCAAATCTCCAGTCAGGAGGATAAATCTGTCAAATCTAATATGGAGAAGAAGCTCGCTGAACCAACCACAAAATCGATTCCCTCCTCTCCTTCCGGTGCAAGTATTGGAAACACTGATCTGGGAGATGCTGCATTGGGTCCTTCCTCTGAAGTTGATGCCCAGTCATCTGAGCCAATCCATCAAAAAATTTGCACAGAAAATGACCAAACCACTTGTTCGATATTTGGTTTTGATTCATCAGATGAAGCTTCTGCCAGAAACACGAAGGCAGAGAAACAGAATGTGGTGGTTTCAGATACTACCTCCATTGATGCCAATGGGAAAAGTTTATCGGCAGATACCACAGATAGTTGTTTCCTAGAACCTGCTGCACAAAGTGAAGTAGAAGAAATAGACAAGACAAAAGTTTCAGTGTGTGTATCTGCAACTTGTGCGAGTGCAAAGCCTGCCATAAATTTCTTCTCAGACACTACAAGTGGACCTGATCCGCAGAATGGGCTACATGTTGCGGCTTTAAAGCAAACTTCTGATGTTAAACATCTTGGTGACTTAAATATTTCTGTGGAGGAGGGAAATTTGGATGCCTCTCCAATTGGTGATAATCATGGTGCTGAAGTTTCTTCTTCTAAACCTGCAATTGACTCCTCAGGTGAAACTTCTTTAAAGCAAACTTTTGATGTTAAACGTCTTGGTAACTCAAATTTTTCTGTGGAGGAGGGAAATTTGGATGCCTCTCAAATGTGTGATGGAGTTGATGTTAATAATGGTACTGAAGTTTCTTCTTCTACACCTGCAATTGACTCCTCGGTTGAAGCTTCTTTAAAGCAAACTTCTGATGTTGAATGGTTTGGTGGCTCAAATGTTTCTGTGGAGGGGGGAAATTTGGATGCCTCTCCAATTGGTGGAGTTAATAATGGTGCTGAGGTTTCTTCTTCTAGACCTGCAATTGACTCCTCGGTTGAAATTTCTTTGAATGCTGCTCTTGTAAATAACACCGACTGTCAACTTGATCTCTCTCCTGGATCTCAAGCATGTGGCTCCAGCTTGAACTCTTCCGATGCCAGTGCTGAAGCAAAAGCTTCTTTTAATGAGAAGATTGTTCACTCTGAGCCCAGTCAGGCGGAAAGTCATGAAGTAACTGTAGTGAGCAGTTGCAGCGCAACTGTTTATTCTTCTGCTTATGTTTCTTCTGCACAACGTGCTGCTGAAGAAACTGGGCATGCTGCTGAAGAAACTGCAGTGGGCAGTCAGGCCGAAAGTCAAGAAGTAACTGTGTTGGGCAGTTGCAGTGGAACTATTCATTCTTCTGATGATGTTTCTGCGCAGCATGCTCGTGAAGAAAAGATTCAGACTGAGGTCTAGGTCTATTGATGCTAATCATACTAACAATGCTACTTAAACATTACCTTAGTCAACGGTAAGCTTTGATGTAGGATTTCATACAATGTCCCATGAGGTTGTTTCTCTAGCTGAACTACCTTTTTGTGTAATCAAGGTCATTTGATGTCCCTAAAGCTGTTTGGGTTTTGTCTATCAAACCAATTTTGATTCTCCAGAGTGTCATGTGGTAAAGGAAAAATCAAAGGGAAAGGTTACTCAGCCAGGCTACAGAAAAAAGTAGTCCAGATCTTGTGCAATTTCTATGCGGTCATCCAGGTTGAAGGTGTTTGAAGGTTATAACAGGTTTCAATTGGATGCTCACAAACTAATGTCCTAAACCAGTTGAGAAAGTTGGACAGTAGAGACCCCTAGGGAGCTGGTGTAATGGAAATTGTTTGGCTATACAATTGCCAGCCTATTAGAAATATCATTGTCAAATGAGTGAGTGAATTGTATCTCATGGGTGGGGCAACAAATTTTGTGACTGTACTCCATTGATGAAAGACTCGCGAAGATTTTGATTGTACATATGTAGTTCTGTGTAGATCTTATATTCTGTTCCCAAGGTCCTCAGAGATCCTTGTAATTCATCACTTGAAATGATAATAGCACCAAAGTATCCAAGTTTCAGGTTAACTTCTTCACTATGTGATCCCTCGTATTTTGCTTGTTAGGACTGTGCGCCCCTCTTGCTAGCAACACAGATTCTTTCTATGTACATATTATTTTACATATTGGACGGTTTTCTTAGTTCCTGTTGCTACCCGAAAGTTTAGCTTATTGCTGCAGATATGACAAGTTGTTCGCTAATCTTTACATATTGATGGAATGGTTAGACACATTTGTGATCGAAAATTTCTTTGTTTATCTATATCTATAATTGATGTACTAGACTTAAGGTAGAATCTTTTGAGGGTGGAATACTTGGATTATCTTATCCAGTTGGTGTGAGTTCAGGAAGAAAAAAAAATGAAGGGGAATTTATGTTTATAATGTTGTCACAACAACTGACAAAATAATTGTAAGATGGAATCTGATCCAAATTCTTGTTTTGTAAAATGGATGAACTTTGACATATTTTATGCACGCCTACACATATTCCTTGCTATATTCTTTATCGGAAACTCAGAGGTTGGCAACACAGGACGTGCAGGCTTGTCTATTTTGTTCTCTTAGTACTTTCCTATAAATGACCATTTGTTGTTAGTTCTCTATAAGAATCAATCTGTAAATTCAATATCTATCATGGCATTCAAGCGATTTGTTCAAAGGAAGTGTTTTGCGATGCGGGGAGTTGGGATGGATTCATACACAGGTTTAATACCTTATCTTCACGGTGTAGTTAAGAGAAGGAAGTTTCTCCAAGGATTTCAAAGGCTCGAGAGACGGAAAAGTCTCTGTCCGTCTGATGAAGAAGGGAGGCATAAGTTGATTCTTCCGAAGAACAGGAAACCAAGTGGTTGTGGGTTATGGAGATGGTAGTAATTCTCTTGAAAACAAGAAAGACTACCTATGAAATTATGCATCCTTGTGTTATAATGCTACTTGGAATTTCTCAAATAACGGTCATTTCTATGTGCAAATTGGTAATGTTCAAATGGTAGAAAAATTCCAGTTTATATACTGACCAAGATGATTAGAATGGTTCTATCATCTATGTCAAAATAAATTAATTGGATATTTTTAGTATTCAGTATAGAGCACGAATCGATGTTTTACTTGTCCTCTCATATCTTTATGGATGTACGATATTAGCATTTTCTTCTACTCTAGGGTCACTTTTGCAAAGTTCCGTTGGCACAATAATATGACCTGCTCTGAGTCTGACTATAGCTCATGAAGAAGTAAAGTTGGCAAATATCACAAAATCATAAATAATGAAATTGATCTAACCTACAATTTGAAGGACTCCAAACTAATACCTAGACTCGGCTGGATTATCATAGAAGGGTGACAGTAATTTGCTAGAAAGGAAGCAGCAATATCAGAAGTAAAATTAGATGAATTCTTTATCTTAAATAATATAGGAAATAGCAGTACCTAGGATGGCAATGGGGGAGGTGCAGGTACGGGGCGAAGCGGGACGGGTTTCAGCATTTGCGGAAATAAGGGGGTGGGGGGTCGGGGGGGACGTGGGGCAAGATGTCGCCCTGTGATTTTACAATCAATAGATTGTGCGCGGAGCCTGAATGCAAATGTTTGGAGGCTAATTTAAAACTTTTCAATTATTATCATAGTAAGTAGTAACATGCTAACATGACTGTATAGACTTTTGTAGTTAGTCATTCTAATTTGGTTGAACTCTTTAACTTATATAGTTATATTTGTAACCGGAAGTAGTCATACCTCTTTTCTTAATTTTAACTGGAAGTAGACATTTAACGTATACGTCTTGATTTTTAAATGTAGACATCGTAGTTGGCGGAAACTTTGCTACTCGACCTCCGTTAATGCTACAATAAAATTTATGAATGTAGTAGTAATATTATTTGCTGCCAAAGGAAATTGCCATGAAGCTGTGATCAGTTGATCATTGATTAATCAATATTTATAATAAAAGTGACATAAAATTTCTCTAAAAAGAAGAATGTAATGCATCGGAATATGGTATCTTGTAATACCCTACATTTGTAAAAAAACAAGGGTGTATTGGCCATTATAATAATATTAATAATAAGTATAAGAAACTAACTATGAAAAAAAAATGACACAAAACGAAACAAATTATGGATTAGGATGGTAATTATGGAAGCTACATATGACTTCCATGTCTTGCTATGGAAACCGAAGAGACCCAATTTGAATAGGAATCAAATGCCTAGGTTTTTTTCTTTTTACATGTATAAATAGTAGTGTATTGGGTGATACCCTTTTTGCTTGAGCCCGACCGGGTTGGGTCCGGTCCGGGACAAGTCGGGGCCATCGAACCCGACCTGGATGCAAGGTAGAACGACGGCCACGTCAACAACCGAGGTCGAGTCATTTCGAGACCGTTGCAGAGCTCGATATGAGTCACCACCGGATGGAGAAACACACAAGGTCGGAAGCCGGACTCGTAACGAATAACCAAGCGTCGCCGGATATCTCGCCCAAACGTGATTTTCTCAACCACTTCAGGCCATTAAGGCGTAATTACAGGGATCCACGATGTAATTAATTTACCTACCTTATTTTTACCCCTAATCAGAATGTATAAAAGGGGAGAAGACCCCATAAAGAGGGGAGGGGAAACCATTACACTACGGTACCATCTCTCTCAATTCTTGTACGCTATCAAGCACAATTGTTCTAAGCAATATTATATTCTGCGATTATTTACTTTAGCAGCAATTGTTGAGTCTTTATCTTTTATTTTCCTCAATCCAAACCTTTTGTATCTTTTAGTTCACGGATCCTTAAAACCCCATATAAATTCAATTGTTATCCGGATTCCAGGGTAAACAGTTTGGCGCCCACCGTGGGGCTAAGGATATTAGTGAGCTCTTTGATACTCTTTCTTGACGCATCACAGTACACTGGTTCTTTGCAAAAGAGTCCATCTTACATTCAAATTACCAACTCATAGAATGGCACAATCAATCAACAACGAACTTGAACAGCAGACAGGAAACAATGGAATGCCCGGGCTCGAAAACCCGATAGATGCCGATTCCCGGATGGCGCTCAACACTGATCAGGCCTCCGGATCATCACATAGCGTCCGGGGAGAGGACGATTCGAGGGCCCAGGCAGTCGGCGAAGAGACTATCAACCTTAAAATGATTTTTGACATG